CCAAAAGCCCTTCTACATGCCCATAGACATGCAGTGGCCTTTTTGCTTATGCGCTCAATGTGCCCTTTCCAGGTCAGGCGGGAGTCAATGATAACTCCCAGGTATTTCACCGACCTGGTCAGACCCAGTTGACGTCCTCGAAGAGCGAGCCCAGCAAGATCCGCTCTCCTTCTATTCGTGAACGAAACAACCTCGGTCTTTTCCGGGTTAACGGAAAGGCCATGGCTACTGCACCACCTATCCACCTGTTCAAGAGCCCCCTGCATGAGCTCTTTCACGGTGTTTGGTAACTTCCCAGTTATCGTCCGCGTATCCCTGTGTATACGCTCCCCCCTCGTTCAAGGTGCGGAGGAACCCGTCTAGTACCAGGCACCACAGCAGTGGAGACAATACCCCACCCTGCGGACATCCTCTAGTAACCGATGAGCTCATCTCCGTCATCCCAATTGAGGATATAATGACTCTGCTTTCGAGCATGGCTACGATCGACCCATCAATACCAAAGCTCTCAGCAGCGTCACTAATCGAATCGAACGTGGTGTTGTTAAACGCACCCTCGATATCTAAAACCGCTCCCAGAGCTATCGCCTCGGAAGACATTCCCTTTTCCAGCCTGCACACCAGGCTGTGTAGAGCCGTCTCCGTGGACATACCAGCCCTGTAAGCATGTTGGAACGGATGTAGTGGTCTACTAACCAGTACGCCATTCCTTATGTATACATCCACCAGATTCTCCGCCGTTTTTAGAAGAAACGATGATAGGCTGATGGGCCTATTATAGTCATTCGTCACGTCATATTTAGCACGACCCGGCTGAGGTAGGTACACAACTCTTACCTTCCTCCAGCTTTCGGGGATATACCCTAAAGCCAGAGAGGCTCTGAAGAGATGCAACAAGTGTAAGAGCAGCGGCTCCAGGCCCTTCTGTAGAAGAGCCGGGAATATCCCATCCGGTCCTGCACCCTTAAATGGGCTGAACGTGTTGACCGCCCATCTCAGAGATCCCTCGGTAACCACCCGGGAAGCTACCTTCCAGTTGATCGGCCTTACACCGACCCGAGTAGCTCCCTTTGGTGGGTCCGAAGTTAAGTAGTCCCCAGAGCCTGGAAAGTGTGTTTCCAGGAGACATGTGAGTGCCTCACCCGCGGTAGACGTACATCTGCCGCATGGAACAGCCTCAGTGTCCCCACCTTTTGCCCCGGGTCCTTCAAAAGGATTTTACGAAGTTTTTGAACTTCAGGAAGACCTTCCATGTTACCACAGAAAGTCCTCCAAGATCCTCGTTTCGACCTCCGAATATGGTCCTTATACCTGCGCTGGGAGATCTTAAAATCTTCCCAGTCTGCAGGTAACTTAGTTCGCATGGCCCTATTAAAGAGCCTGCGAACCTCCTTACGAGCCTTTTCAAGGTCTGAGTTCCACCAAGGTGTTCTCTTCTTTCCTCGAAAGGTACGCAGTTTACAGCTGTCCTCATAGGACGCTGTTATGGCGTTGCTTACTAATTTGCGGCCGCCTCTTCCACCTGCCCTGCTTTCCGACAGAGCAAAGGTGGTCTATCCAACCGATCCGACAGTTTTGCCACATAGCAGTCCCAGTCAGTGGAACGGGGATTCCGAAACCTACAGGACCCGCAGTGAAATGCCAGGTTCAGCTGGAAAAGAATGTGCTTGTGGTCCGAAAGCGAAACTCTCCAATTCGTGTGATCATGTGAGCTATTGAAAAGGAGCCCAGCGTCAGATCAATGACCTCCTACCTCCGCGCTGTGACGAAGGTAGGGGCTGCTCCCTGATTTAAAACATTCAAATCAGTTGTTTGCAAGTACTCCAGAAGGTGGTCGCCCCTCGAGTTCGTGTCCGTGCTGCCCCACACAACATGGTGTGCGTTTGCATCACAGCCAACCACAAGAGGGAGCCCACTACTTCGACAGTACTCTATCAACTCAGCCAGCTCCTTGGTTGGTGGAGCCCTTTCTGAGTCGTACGGGAGATAGGCGGAGCAGACCACCAAGTGCCTGCCCCGTCCTCTGTCATCTTTCAGCTGAAGTCGTAGAGCTACGAGATCCCTGAAACAAAAATCAGCCATTAGATAAGACTCGATTCGTCTATCGACATAAATGCAAGTCCTCGGGTTCAGTTGGCTGTCCCTCTTATAATAAAGAGAGTCTTCCACCTGGCCCAGACCTCTTACTCGTCCCTTGTAAACCCAAGGTTCTTGTATGAGGCATACGCCTGTCTGCTTTACAGCAAGTTGACGACCCATTAGACAGGTCGCCCCCTTACTGTGCTGCAAATTGCTCTGTAAGAAGGTTACTTTGTCCATCACTGATGTACTAGGTTTCCTCCTCCGTTAGCGATGCCGACGGTTAGCCAAGACCCGCCACACGAGCCAAAAGCTCGCTGACCTCTTTCTCGATCTTTTCGGGCGCCGGGAGCAAGGTCCTGCTGCTTCGGTGGAGCTCTCTCCCTTACCTTGCGCAGCCGGAGCACCCGCTTTCGTCACAAAAGTGACGCGCGAGACCCCCGCGTGCTCCTGAAAGTTCTGTCGCTGGAGTGCCTGATAGGACGTCTCATCGACACCAATTGCGAGGAGAATCCTAACAGGCTCCTCCTTGCGAAAAAACTTCCTCCATACACTCGTCCTGAAACCAGGATTTTGCATCTGGAGGCGCTTCAAAATGGTGTCCGTGTCATCCGGGAGCCCGTACAACACAGCCATCACCTTGGTTACCCTCGGGACGTGCCTCTGAACTTTGAGCGACGCGCCATTCCAGGGCCGGATAAGAGGGACGGTCCTCTCCAACCAGTCCAAGGTCCACTGGTCCTCGCATTCGGCCACGGTGGCACCCTGCGGATTCCAGCGGAACCCTGCCAGCCGAGGAAAGGGCCTTCCCTCCATCTGGTCTACGACTGCATTCAATGCAGCGCAGCCATAATGCACCTCGACTGAGCCTCAGAGATGTCCACCTCCGGGTGTGAAACGATGGCCATCTTAAGCCCTGCCGCAGCGACTTGCCCATAACTTCGTGGTGCACCCATAGCGAAGACGACCTTCGTCGCTACCAATCTGGGTTCTAGCCCCGACGAGCCACTTACAATCGTCACTACCCACACCGAAGCACGAGTCACGTACGATCATTCAGGTGTCTGTATGGGCTTTCCCCTATCCGCCACCCGGGGACGCGCCCGATGGGTGCCTAACAGAGCTGGGCAGTATTCGATTTTGTAAATACTTTTTAGTATTCAAATCCTACACCAAAATTTCTCGGGAAAACACTTTTTCTTATTAATTTTGGTGCGTAGAATCCAAAACAATTCGTACTTTTTCGATCAGACTTCTCAATCCAAATTTATAGACTAGAAACCAATTTCGAAAAAAAATTCAAAGGGCTGTAACTTTTGAACTAGTAGCTCAATCTTGGAACTGTTTGAAATTATGGATTCTACAGGCCACATTCTATAAGAAAATTTTTTTCCGGGTCGATCTGAGACAATTTTTTTTTCGGGGCTCAAAAAAGGGCAGTGTATAACCTTCCTTTTTTACCAAAAATCGACTGCACCAAAATTTCTCGGGAAAACACTTTTTCTTAATAATTTTGGTGCGTAGAATCCAAAACAATTCGTACTTTTTCGATCAGACTTCTCAATCAAAAGTTATAGACTAGGAACCAATTTCGAAAGAAAATTCAAAGGGCTGTAACTTTTGAACTAGTAGCCCAATCTTGGAACTGTTTGAAATTATGGATTCTACAGGCCACAATCTATAAGAAAAATTTTTTTCCGGGTCGATCTGAGACAATTTTTTTTGAGGGCCTCAAAAAAAGGCAGTGTACAACCTTCCTTTTTTACCAAAAATAGACTGCACCAAAATTTCTCGGGAAAACACTTTTTCTTATTAATTTTGGTGCGTAGAATCCAAAACAATTCGTACTTTTTCGATCAGACTTCTCAATCCAAAGTTATAGACTAGAAACCAATTTCGAAAAAAAATTTAAAGGGCTGTAACTTTTGAACTAGTAGCCCAATCTTGGAACTATTTAAAATTATTGATTCTACGGGCCACATTCTATAAGAAAAATTTTTTTCCGGGTCGATCTGAGACAATTTTTTTTGCGGGCCTCAAAAAAAGGCAGTGTATAACCTTCCTTTTTTACAAAAATCGACTGCACCAAAATTTATCGGGAAAACACTTTTTCTGATTAATTTTGGTGGGTAGAATCCAAAACAATTCGTACTTTTTCGATTTCCAAAGTTATAGACTAAAAACCAATTTCGAAAGAAAATTCAAAGGGCTGTAACTTTTGAACTAGTAGCTCAATCTTGGAACTGTTTGAAATTATGGATTGTACAGGTCACATTCTATAAGAACATTTTTTTTTCCGAGTCGATCTGAGACAATTTTTTTGCGGGCCTCAAAAAAACCTTCCTTTTTTACAAAAATCGACTGCACCAAAATATCTCGGGAAAACACTTTTTCTTATTAATTTTGGTCCGGAGAATCCAAAACAATTCGTACTTTTTCGATTAGAATTTCCAATCAAAAGTTATAGACTAGAAACCAATTTCGAAAAGAAATTCAAAAGGCTGTAACTTTTGAACTAGTAGCCCAATCTTGGAACTGTTTGAAATTATGGATTCTACAGGCCACATTCTATAAGAAATTTTATTTTTAAATTTTTAATATATTTGAGTGACAAGTATTTGAATACTTTTTATAGTATTCGAATACATTCTAAAGTATTTGAATACTTATTTTTTTAAGTATTTGAATACTTTTCAATGTATCTGTATCTATAGTATTCGCTTGTGCTGGACGTAAAAGTATTTAGTATTCAAATACTTTTTGAAAGTATTCTGCCCAGCTCTGGTGCTTAACCACACAGGTCCTGCTGGTATAAGAAAATAATTGTAAATTATACCAGTTTAGACTAAGTATATGGGCACATAGGTACTCAGTTTGCACCACATCTACGAGTTAAAAAATAACTACACAATCAAAAAATGTTTATTGTAATATATATAATAAAAACTGAATATTTACTATATGCAGGGATTAAGCTGCATTGTCAGTTGAATAGATTTCGATGGGTAGGTATAAATTGCAATAGAACAAACAGGCATTAAATCCTAATAAAAATATAAACATCAATATTTACAGTAAAAACCTCTTAAATTAAATCCTGGATACAATCCCTCACCGAAGACCTACAATTAAAACCCTACCGGACATAAGTCTTTCATCAGCTTAATCCATGGTATACATATGGCGTAGGCACTATATAATCAAAACAAATACTATATAAAACACTATCAAATTCAACTTATATAAAAAAGTAATATAATGTATTAATAACACTAATTTAAATAGGTGGGGAGAATGAAAAAATTACATAGGTACTTAAATAAAATCACATTTTTTTAAGTCGAAAGATTTTCATACCGAATCATCTGCAACAGTGGAAATTCTTAGATTAAACAGTTTACAAAATCGCCGACTTACCGTGATACCACCACTTGGTTTTCTTTGGATTTTTATTGCAGGTTTTAACGTAAAATGCATTATCGGGCGGTCGTTTCTAAAAATAAACCATTACACTTAAAAGACAAAAAGGCTTCCCACCGACCTTTTCTTTACAACTACTTAGCATAGAGACTATCGATAAGCAAACGGCCTGAACAGATAAAGCTGGCGACCAGTCGTCGGTTAAAATTGAAAGACATATGTGACCGTTGCTATAGACGTGCGGATGAACGGGAATGTTTGGACCGACGAAGGTGACTTCGGGTGAATCGAACGGATATTTATTACTAAATTTGAACTGTAATTGAAAATTTTCACCTTCGTATAAGGTGCCCGAGGCCCCGTCCATATTTATAAGCCATCTGTAAGGTAAACGATCTCGCATGAGATATCGGGCCCGGGTCGACACTTACTGTAGTAAATTTCGTTCTATTACGTCCGAATCGACTGTGACACCGGGCGGCGGTTCTTTCACTAATGACATTAACTCCTTCTGAAGCCTCCTCTGGAACAAAAATAGCCACTTAATCCCATTAACCTGCACGAAACTTTCGAGAAAAACAGGCACCGAAACGGATCAGCGCGTACGTAATTTGGTAAAAGCGCGAGGATCTCGCCCGCGAAAAACTAAGAAAAACCTTTAGGAACGGCGTAAAATCGAAATTTACCTCAGATGGAGACAAACCTGCCATGTTGCTCTGGTCTGTCTTGTAAACATGTCAAATGTCAGTGAGACGGGTGGAGTAAACTAAACGTAAAAAATCGCGCTTGTGGGCGAACGACGGGTGAAAAATGCGCTACTTGCCTTTTGGGGGAGATTCTCCGCCATTTCGCCAACTAATAATTCGAAGTTTGTGCGAAATTAACCGCGAACGTCCACCGATGCGAGGGTGGCAATTCGAAATTCCCGCCCGCGAGTCTCCGCAATCAGCTGATTGTGACACATAGGCGACGTTGCCGGGCGAGGTAAACAAATAAAAAATGGCCAGCTCAGAGATTTAAAAATGAATTTAGGGGGCACCGTTCATGTTACCAAAAAGGGCCTCTTTGTGTTGTTCGCCCTGTGTCTCGTAGTGTTTTATTACTTCTTCTCGAATAGAATTGGGACTAAGGAGGATGCACGGATTAATCTGCGACGACTGCTGGCCGTCGCGATTAGGGCAGCCGAGAGTGGCGGCAAAGAGGTAGTGGGCCACAAAGACAATCTGTTAATCCAAAGCAAGGGTATGTTAATTATTGCACTTTTATATTATACTTGCTTTAACTAATCCATTTATTTTACATAGAGGCTCCCTTTTTTATATCTATATATAATCGAGACACCCGAGGGAAAAATAAGATGAATTTCGTACACCAAACATCCATTTAGTAGTAGTAGATCTCGATAAACATCTCTTCATGGATATAATCGCACATCCACCACATTTACTTATGCAATATTTCTTTGGAAATCTGCCATCTTCAAATATCTTCATCTATACGGCACTAAATAAGCTTTTTTTCCAAATAACCCAATATCTTGAATGTTTCGGGTGGAACCTACACCCCCAAAGTGTGTGTTTCTTCCTTAATGTTGTTCTCAGATAGAAACACGAAAATTACGGAGTAGAGGCTGGGAGAGTTCTGACCAAAAACCCCATGTATTTAATATGGGAAATTCTATGGTCTATTTTGAAAGTTTTCCTTGTCACTCCAGTCAAGTGCACATGCGCGCCCAAGTAGCAGTCCGTGTTTTTTTTTTGTACACAAATGAGAAAGGAAGTTGAATCAAAACTATAGTGCGTAAGTAAAGACGAGAACATAAAATATATTACGCACACAACCGCGCGATGTCAGGGAAACCTTCTACGGGACAAAAACCCTGACAGCCCACACAACTTTCAAATTATGTAACAATAAACAAGATACGAAGAATCGCATACGGGAAATTTTTGTCACTCCACTCCTAATCGGAAACCAGAATTTTGATCCGGCTCATATTCAATAGCACGCATCCTCCTTTCGGTCTCGAGTTAGACGAGGAACAGACAGACCGACAAAACCATTACATAAGAATTTTTTTCTTTCGAAAAATTCCCCTAAAAATCAGATCGCGAATTTCAAGATTCTAGGAACGTCATATTTTCCCAAATACATCAACGTGCAACGTTTCAGCTGGTTGATGAACGTCGTAAGGGCGATAAACTTGCTCGCTGATATTCCTGTTTTCGTCTTGGTCGAGGTCCTGGTATAAATCAGACCACACCCTTTTTACCTTTCGGATCTCTTCGTGAATTTGAAAACGCCGCACGCGCACCAGCCATTTTGTTGACTTCAAATCTTAAGGTTGATATTTGATTAAACCGAAAATCATCAATTACAAAAATATCTTCCTCCGAATCATCTTCCAAATTGATTGACATAAACCCCCATTCGACCATTCAACGTCTGTGTGGGATCATGGCGTAGATGGAGTTCCGAATCGCTGCTTGTGTGAAACGATCAACATCGCTAACGGGTTTCTTACATCGCCTTGTTTTCTAGAGGTTTTTCCCGATTTAGAAACTTGTGAAATAGAAGTCGCTGTTCGCCGACTAATAGTGAATGCATCCGAAACTCCCTCCTGTGAAATGAAACTTGTTACGTATACGAATTCGTATATTACTAAAGTAACGACCCACCTCTCTTACTGGTAAAAGCGGACCGCCATTATCCCTTTGTCGTTCAAAATAACGAATAAGACTAGAAATAAGTCGCTTACTTTTTCTTGGTAAAGCCGATGGCATTTAAAGGTTATACAACTTTTGGCACAGAATATCGCGGTAAACTACCACAATTTCGATTGATAGGTAACCTGAAAACATAAAAAAATACATTTTTACTACAGGTTTTTTGTTTTTATTTTTTAAATAACGCACAACTCTGCCTCAAGAACCAATTTTGTGAAATACATTTTGATTCCCCAAAAACAGAATTGATGACGTGCGCGCAAACGAAGAAAAACCCTACTTTAGCTAACCCCCTGAGCCACTGAGCCTTATAGGGATATAATTCAGTAGTCGTATTTAAATGGATAGGGACCGAACCGCCACCTATTAGATTGATGTCATACTATGTCGAGGCATTTTTCGCAATTTACCATGTAGACTTATGGGTCCTTAAATAGATTTATTTGTAACAGTTTACTATGATCTACAACTTACTTATACTCAAATGTATAACATGTCAATCTATAACGAGCGCGAATTTCACTATTTATCACTTCGGTATCCATGTTGGAACTGAACTGAACACACTTTAATTTACTTGTGCTTTCATTCCCTATCGCCGGTGACTAATTCTCTATCGAATTGATGGCGCCTTGATATCGCTCTAGAAAATTCGCTAAATTACTATGATTATAAATAAGTAAACTCATAAACTAACATTTCACGTTAATATTCAATTTGTTGGATCGCTTACGTTACGAAATCTGTAATCATACTAAAATACGCTGGAATGGTCGATTTTTTTTAAGTGGTGAGGAATGTACAGGTCCGTTTAAAGAGCCGGATAGTCCAGAATTTTAAAAACCAGTAGTTTTCGAATGAGTTTGACGATATTGTATGAGCCATTGGCTTCCCGATGTGTCGAGAGCGATTAATGGCATGGGAAAAGTTGCCGGCGCCAGTCTGACGGGCGATAATACAATCATAGTGTCTTTTACGTGACCAAAACTGCTAAATCAGGACTACTCATGGTGACATTATAGTTTCGTGCGAAGCGCTTTAAAAACGACCGTGAGAGGCGCAGGGAATGATAAATAAATTCCGCTGTTTTTTTCTACGCGTCAAGTTTGTAACTATATACCTTTGCTCACAGGTAAGACGAAGGAAGGTGCAAATGACAGTGTGACGAATGCCGATCTACGCTCGCATTGCGTCATGGTGGACAGTTTGAGTCGTCCCTTTCCCGATCTGCGAGTAATCTCGGAAGAATCGAAGACTGTATGCAGCGAAAGCGGCGATTACAGCTCGGCGGTACTCGATTCCGGCCTACGGGACGAGTGGGTTGACGTCGGGGACGTCACGGTATGGATCGATCCATTAGACGCGACACAAGAGTATACAGGTAACGTACGTTGACGAGCCACTGGTGCTAATCTTAGTTTGTAGAGAAGCTCTACGAGTATGTCACGACCATGGTCTGTGTGGCCGTGAAAGGCGAGCCTATCATCGGGGTCATCCATAAACCGTTCGTTTCCAAGACCTTCTGGGCTTGGAAAGGGAAAGGTTATTCCTTCGAGAATACCCTCAAGGTAAACATGACTTAAGCGGGCGTACTCACTGAAACTTACTTTGTAGGAAAGCGGCGAACAACTCAGGTTCATTGTGTCTCGGTCTCACTCTGGAAAGGTCGCGGAGCTCGTCAAACAAAAGTTCTCCGACAGAAAATTTGAAATTATTTCGGCGGGCGGGGCCGGATACAAAGTTTTGGAGTTGGTAAACGGTAACGCCGACATGTACCTTCACGTGACCGCCATAAAGAAGTGGGATATATGCGCGGGAAATGCAATTTTGAATGCGCTAGGCGGCCGGATGGTTACCATGGATAAGAATGCAATCGGCTACGCTGATCCCGATCATGTACTTAATGAAAATGGACTTATAGCCACCCTTAAAGAAAATGAAGCATTGAGTGATAAACTTTAATAAATTACCTTGTATTGTACAATTTACATTAAAAAATTAGGATGTGTGTGACGTTATTTTTCGGGTTTTGAGTTCAGTGCGCTTTAAAATGAAGGATTTTCAGACAGACACATATGTTTATATGCAGTTTTTAACTTCATTTTTTACCAGTCAATGTTGATAGTGTCCACTGTGGTGGTAATGTGTAATGTTCTTCGACGACTTACGCTACATTCATCTCCAATGTGAACGGCGGGGTCACCAAACGGATATTTACCGTACTTGTTAACATACGGATACAGGGAGGTCCAGTCGGCATACTTTATTTTACATCCTCTTTGGTTTATAAATGACTTTGTCACCATAAAATGCGTCTCGTGTGGTTTCCAGCTTTCAAAAATGTCGGTTATACATACAGGGTGGAACCTCTCGCTATTTATTTAATTTAATTATAATCGTATAAAAATTTAAATATTCGGATTTGCGATCATATGATGAACGTGCATGATCTCTTCGGGCAAATACTTCAAAAGGAAATCGTGCGAGCTTTTCAAAAACGTCGCATATACTTCCAAAAATTTAATTCCCAATATAGCTTCGTTTGGAACTTCGCCATTTTTCCCACTAAAAATACCACAATAAACCGCACGCAACTGCTTACCCTCGACAACTCTACCTCACTGCTTGCTTCGTGAGTATCATCACAAACTTGGCCATGTGACGAATGAACGCCTCGTTTAGACTGGGATGAAACTGTTTCAGTACGGTGTGAACGGCGACTATCACAGGGAGCCCGTCGAATAATTCGAAATTTTTCTTCGGCAGGTTAGCTGAAACACGCCTCGAGTGCAATTGACCTTCAGCTCGAGGTACTTACCAGTGCTTTTAAAGACGAATATCTTCTGAAGGTGGGCGATTACGAAGATGAACAAAATGGTAGGGAATTCCTTGCTCGGTTTCGTCGTTATGTAGATCTTGTGTAACGGATTGTTCATTCCCATCCAGTCGAAGTACGGCGAGAGGGTTAGCAGAACGTTTTCGCTCACCTCGGACGATTCCTCGTTTAAACGTAACTCGTTTAACAGCGCTCTAGAATTCCAACGTTTTTAGTACTTATTTGAGTCGTGCAGAAATTGTGTAATAACAAAAATTCATTGTAACATTAAAAAAAAGGATGTAGACCATGACCACAAATCTGGAGCATATAGAGGTGCGTCTCAGTGTAATCTCGGATACGAATTAAAAGTTACACTCATACGTACCTATTTAATAGACTTAAAGATGACTCTAAATCTTTGGCATCGAATTTACACGACTTATTCAATTGGAACGCGATTAAATTACGTAACAGTTGCAGTTGTCCTACGCTAAGAACGAGATCGAGCACGTTCGGCCACAACTTCGTAGTGCGATTGACGCAGTTGTGCAAAAACTTATACAGATTGGGAATGCTATCCAACGAGGTCAGCTCGTTCGAAATGCTTGTAATAATATTACCCCACGAGCTGTTTTTCTTCTCCTTGTTTTCCAAAATTGCTGCGACAATCGCCCAAATAAATCACTGGCATAGTCGATCGTCCAACTTACCGACGATTTTTTGTAAATTTGTAACGATCATGAAGGAGTACAACTTATCTAACCCCACCAATCCGATTATTTCCAGCGCGGAGGCGATTAGTTGAAACTCCTGTTTGTTTAAAATCGACTTGTGCGTCTTCGCGTCGTACCACGTCGACGTCTGCTCCAAGTAGATCGACTGCCTGGAACAGCTCGCAGATTAATTTCCGCGCGTAAACACAAAGGCCTAACCTCGGATCGGTCAATCGGATCAGCTCTCGCGCCAGACGCCCGATGAAGTTGACGCTGCTCAGATCGGTCGGGGGGTAGTGGGGGATCGGAACGTACCGACTTTGATAGGCGCTCTCCCACGCGTGCACTTTATTCCTCAAAAAGCCGTTGCATTCTTGCTCGACGTTGTAATTGATGATGCGGGTCACCTCCTCTTGCCAAATTTTCAGCCCGTTAATATTGACGTAATCCTGTTATCGATAAACGGGTGCAAATCCAGAGTGTATAAACCTACCTGAATGTACTCGAAGGATCGCTTGTAGCCGTCCATGATGCAAGCGAGATTCCGTAACCGCTGATCTAGCTCGTCCAACTTGAGGCGGGGACTGAAAATGAGCGCGTTATGTAGCGCTTTAGAAATGTGCCGTACTAATTCCTTGCGGATGCCGTCTTCTAGAAGCTGCTTTGGATCTAAGCACACTACACCGACTAAGGTGCTTTTCATCATCCGCATACCTAAAATCAGATAATGTTATACGTTGAATATTGTGTGCTTCAATTTAAAAAGGGAGCAGATGGAGTTCCTTAAGGATTCATGTTGGAATCAGCAATTTTTCTGTATTTTTAGAGTTTTTTTTTCATTTTGTGATGTAGCACTACACCTGTTCGGTTTATTTTATGTAAGGTCCAATCGCTAAAACATCTAAGGAATTTTTTTTCAAGTTCACCCCAAGGTACCCGAACTAAAAAGCTAGCGCGTAACCAGGTGATATACGGTCGACATATGAGCAGTAAACCAACTGTGTGGACTTTGAACGACAACCAACCTTTGAACTTTGAACGGTGAGGAATGGACTTTGAGTGGCGCGCAACCTTTGGACTTTGCACGGTGAGCAAACTGTGTGGAATTTGAACGGCGAGAAAACGGTGGTTGTAGTTTTAGTAATCGTCGTGCAATCACCGGTGACGCAGGTCCAAAATACCATTCAAGATGGTGGAAATAAGATCTCGCTCCCCGCACAAATTACCAAAATTTTGCCTTGAACCAACTGCCAAAATTTGACCTTGCACCCCGAGCCAACTGCTGAAAAAGTGTCCCACTTGTTACCCAAAGCCCACATGTTGGTTTTGCCACATCCGCATGGACCCACGACCATTTTCTACTCATGCCGTAGTAGACTACATCAGTTCACAGGTTCGGCAAAAATGTCGTGGTTAGATAAGAGCCGCAGCTGTTCTTGCACAAGAAAGTTACTATGGGAAAGGACAGTACCGGTTGGATAGGTGGAATGGTTGTTTCTCACCTTCACTGTAAACCGAAACAGAATGGGTCAGTTCGGCGAACTCAAAACGTTCATTCAGCTGCGCGTACTCCTTAAGCTTGTCCTTTTCCAACCTCGTCGGCAGCTCCTTCAAAACCGACGTCTGTATCTCGATGATTCGAGCCATATTCTCGAACATCATCTCCGGAATGATTTGCAAAACTTTGCGCGCGTAAATCTCCAACTCGCTACTGTAATACTGTGAGACGGATATGAGATCTTCGCTGTGCGCCTGATTAATGCGCAACAAGGGAATTTCGAGCGCGGAGGCCAACTTCAGGAAAATCGCGCGCAACTTGATGCAAAGCATCGGCTCCCTTTTGATACCGAGCTGCATGATGCCGGTATACGAGTCGATCAGCTCCCAACCGTAACTGATATCGCCAATAACCTGAAGCATCGCCAGCATCTCCTCCTTCACGTTCATATTCTTAATCATCGAGTGCAGAAAGCGGCGCGTCTCGGTTAAACACTGCACGACGTGCATGTGCTTGTCCAGCTGGTGAAACTCCTGAACCTCTTCCAACGCCTGAATGAGCTGCACGATCTTTCGACCCGAATTACTGTCGTTTTGATCCAGGGACTTGATCTCCTTCGAAATCTCGACGAACCACCTCTGCAGATTGGCGTTCTTTTCGATGCGCGTCAGCAGTTTAATTCCGCCGAACACTTCCGAAAGCTCGACGAGATGGTTGTGGCCCTCCTCTTTCAAGCTATCCCACTTATTGTCTTTCTCAGACAGTAGGTCCTTGACAATTTCCTTCGTCACCAACTCCAGCTGCGCCGTGTTTAAAAGCAACTTGAATAACTGATCGGGGGACGATTTCGATTCGGCCACGACCATTTCGCGTAGCACCTTCGTTCGCTTATTTCTGTCGTTTTTCGAGGCGGTGTGGAGCATTAACCAGCGTATCGTCGCGTTGCACTCGCGAAGAACGCTGGTGATGCTGTTGATATCGTTGATGACGTTCTCGCTCGTTAGGTTTCCTTCCTTGAGCAGTTTCGAGGTTCTCTCCAGAAGAGTAACGATCGTCGAACCGTAAGAGACACCGTAACTTTTCACGTTGACGCTCTCCAGGGTGTTATTCAGGGCCATCTTCGCCGCCTTAAAAAATTCCCACGAGTCGACCAGATTAATCGTAAAGCCCATGTAGAGCGATATCACCCAATTGTCGGGGAAGTACTTGTCGACGATCTCCCTCATTATCGAGGTTTGGTTGTGGAGGATCGTCGGGGAGAAGAAGAGGCAGACGTAAAGCATCGAGGCCTGCGTCGCGAGCGCCGTGCTTCGATGTTTGGAGAGCGGATAGAGCGAGAGCTGGTTGTAAATGTCGTCCGATCGCAATCTTCCGATCACCACGTCGATGAACATGGAGTTGATCGGGATGCGTCTGAAAATAAACATGGAATTAGACCAAATACGCTATTCCCCGTGCTGGAAAAGTGTCCACAGATTACCTACCTGAAATAATCTTCGGGATAATTGTTAGGACGTTTGGCCGAGTTGACGCCCGTGTCCCGTAACAGCTTGCACACTTCGTCGATGTGCGTTTTACCATCTTGCCGCTGCGGTGTGTAACGGTAGTACGATATCAGCAGCCTCTCTCTTATTATCCCTTCGATGTGGGTATCGACGATGAGCAACATGACGCCGTACAGGTATAGAGCCTCGCACTACAACAAGTTGACAAGGAAATCGGCGAAAAAAGTATAGATTAGAGTTTCAGGCTTAATAAAAAGATCCGTTCGAAAGATTTGAATGGAATTTATATTGTAACGGGTCGCGTTAGTTTCATGCCAGGCAAACTTAAAATGGTAAAATGAAAATTGGAAAATAGTCGCTCGCTTAAGGGATGCGGGAGAGGAATAAAAATGTCAATTTCGGAATGACCCTGTATTTTCTTAATTCAAAAAGATACAGAAAAATGTTCAAAGTCCAAAGTTTGCGTGCCGTTCAACGTCCATTTCTCACCGTTCAAAGTCCAAACGTTGGTCGCCGTTCAAAGGTTGTCTTCAGCCTATAACTATGAAATTAATAAAGGCTCCGTAGCTCAATGGTTACGTGCTAGCCTTCTATTTCAGGTATCGTGGGCTCAAATTCCAAAGACAATAAAAAAATTTTTTCCAGAAATCACTGATGACGCGGATACAAAATAGCATCCAAGATGGTGGGTTCAACACAGCATCCAAAATGGCGGAACAATTATCGAAATACCCCGGGGCCAACTACCGAAATGGCTCCGCATCCCGAACCAACTACCTAAACTTGACTTTACACCCGAAGAGAATTACCGAAATATATCACCCCGGACCAACTGCCGAAATATTTCCCACAGTCCAAAAAAGTGACCCCATACCAGAGCTGGGCAGTATTCGATTTTGTAAATACTTTTTAGTATTCAAATCCTTTAAAGTATTCAATTAAATACTTTTATGGAAGCAGTATTTGTATTTGTAACTCAAATACTTTCACAAATATTTAGTATTCGAATACTTCGCAGGGTATTTGAATACTTTGAGAAGTATTCGAATACTTCGCATAGTATTTGAATACATAACCTTCCTTTTTTTTTTACCAAAAATCGACTACTCCAAAATTTCTCGGGAAAACACTTTTTCTTATTAATTTTGGTGCGTAGAATCCAAAACAATTCGTAATTTTTCGATCAGACTTCTCAATCAAAAGTTATAGACTAGAAACCAATTTCGAAAAAAAATTCAAAGGGCTGTAACTTTTGAACTAGTAGCCCCATCTTGGAACTGTTTGAAATTATGGATTCTACAGGCCACATTCTATAAGAAAATTTTTTTTCCGGGTCGATCTGAGACAATTTTTTTTTCGGGGGCCCAAAAAAAGGCAGTGTATAACCTTCCTTTTTTACCAAAAATCGACTACACCAAAATTTCTCGGGAAAACACTTTTTTTTATTAATTTTGGTGCGTAGAATCCAAAACAATTCGTACTTTTTCGATTAGACCTCTCAATCAAAAGTTATAGGCTAGAAACCAATTTCGAAAAAAATTCAAAGGGCTGTAACTTTTGAACTAGTAGCCCAATCTTGGAACTGTTTGAAATTATGGATTCTACAGGCCACATTCTATAGGATTATTTAAAGATTGGAAGATTGTCAGACTTCTGAATTGACTAGTATTAGTCAATGCTAATAAGCTGCATAAGTTTTGTTTTTTGTTCGGTTGTGATACCTAATTTACATTTCAAATAATTCAATGTGTAGAAAATAAACATTATTAAAAACGCATTGGATATAATGATTATTAAAAAATGGTTACAGTCATATACCTACCTTCTGAAAATTTTTAAGTATCTACTTCGGTTTGCCTGCGTTTTGTAACAAACGCGCGCGATCATGATTTTCGTAAAAAAACTCGACTAGGGGAAGTGTAATAGACTAAACCTGCATTTAATGTCGCTTTCTTAAGTTGGGCGACCACAAAATTGATTCTCACATGAAGGAGCAGTTCATATACCCCTACAAAATCTAGTTTTTTGAGAAAAAAATGTCTAATTTACTTGGGACACCAGTAATTTCCTCATTATCACATTTACTAGATGACTTTAACTTTGAGCTATACCAAACATCTCCAAAGGTTTTCATTCGTGATTTTTTATTAAGCCACAAGCTCGAGTCTACTTAATTGTAGTGCAGACACTACGACCAAAACTTACCATAACCTGTCGGCCCTCAACATCAGCAAAGATAGTTTCAAGCGATTGATGAATGTAAAATCCATCCTCCAACTCTTCCAGGAAACGATTCAAATCGGTAACGTAAGTGTGAATACTTTCAAATGCCAAATAAAATCGGTTGATTATCTCTATGTGATTGTCACGGAACTCCTCGTCCAAGTCTCTCAGTGCCTACAATCGGACGGTAATTATTCGCACATTTCACATTTATAAATGCACCTCATTGGATTCGATCTTATTTTCCTGCACTTCTGCGAATTTTAGGTAACTGAAATCCAGTATAATTTCGCCGTACTTCTGAACATCTTGTTTCGTTTCTAGTCTGCAAGAAGAAGTGTTAGTAAACCACCGATTCGGGGCACGGACTTACTTGAACGTTGTCGGAATGTAATCTTTTAATCGGAGAAGTTCAGCAATGACAGCGTTTCCTCTCGAAACGAGCTGCAATATCGTTTGTCCGCACACATTATTTTCTGCAAAGAATTCGTTCATTACTCTTTAAAGTTATTTAGTTACAGAAATTAATTTTGAGGTTAGGAAAGTTAGCTACTGTACAGGGTGCTTCTGTACAAAAAGGTTGCAACAATGCATGGCATCATTTTGACAAGTGTATTGTCATTCTATCTTTGGACAAAAAATGTCGCAAGATGCTAAATCTGATCAATGTGTGTATCTAGGGGGTATTAATAAACAACAATGAATTAACCGAGTGCTCATTCACGCGTCTGAATGACCCTGTAACTTTTTGGCGACTCGGGAAAGCACGCGGAGTTTAGCCACTTCCCCTCTTCTAACCTCACATTTTTAAATTGTTTCTGATCTGATTTTTTGATAATTGAACATTCAAATGACCTCAAAGCTGCCTCTCGTAATTATTTTAGGCGCCACAGGCTCGGGAAAGACTAAACTTTCCCTCGAGTTGGCCAGAAAATTCGGTGGACAAATAATAAGTGCGGATTCAATGCAGGTTTGTACCCTTCCCCCGTGTGAGCTGCCCGCAATCGTTTCTCTTCAGATTTACAAGGGCCTCGATATAATAACAGCGAAGGCCACCGTTGAAGAACGTCAAATGGCACCGCATCACCTAATCGACGAATTACATCCAAGTCAATCTTGTAGCGTTGTCGATTTTAGGAACCGAGCATTATCTATCGTATCCTTTCACTGCCTTTATTCCAAGCGAGTAGTTTCTTAACGGCGAAAAGATCGACAACCTTTTTGCTAAAAATATACTGCCGATTGTCGTCGGTGGGACGAATTACTACATCGAATCTCTCTTGTGGAGAATATTAGTCGAGGAGCCCGGTGCATGGATTGAGCAAAACTCGCCGTTCGAGACGAGCCAGTTGTCGAACAGCGAGTTACATAAGCTACTGTTAGAGCAAGATCCTGATCGTGCAAATAAGCTTCATCCGAATGATAGACGTAAGGTATTAAGGTACAGAGTTTCAAATAATATTGGATGGAGTTCTGTGGTCTGCAAACTAGGCCCTGGTGATCAAATCAGACACTTTTGGTACTTGTACTATCCTTGCTTGAAGTCGGTAATAAGTAGTGAACTTCTGCAGCATCTTTTCGCATAGTCATTTCTGCACACTCATTTTTTATGAGGCCTTTATTTTAATGCAAAAACCTTAGCGGGCAGCATATACTAACTGATTAGATTATTGCTATCATATCCCACAGAGCTCTAGTCTTACCGAGGGTTTTAGATAAAACAGCAATTCCCCACGTCTTTTAGCTCACTGGAGATACTTCATCGGAAAGGTCGTAAGCATAGCGACATATTGTTAGAGCAGCAGACCTCGGAGGGCGGATCCGCTTTCGGCGGTTCGTTACGTTTCAAAAACGCCTTAATATTTTGGATGATCTGTGAACAGGTGAATGCTCCCGCTAGACGCGAGCGGCTAATAAAACGATTTTAGGCAACACTAGACGGCAGATTAGATTCGCGCGTTGACCAAATGATCGAACAGGGTTTGGTAAACGAGCTGCTGGATTTCCACAGACGTTACAACGAGCAACGAGTCCAGAATCAGTAAGTAACGCAAACATAAGACAGACCTCTGGTTCCGCTTCCGCCGAGACTTCCGCGAGTGCGGAAGTTCTGCATATTTTTTCACTTCCGCCGATTCCGTGTTTTATAACGGAAGTATACTCGAATTTTTTTAATATTGCGAGGTGCGCTCTGATTGGGCGAACGGGACGGCGCGTGACGTGACGCAACTTGTTTGTTTTTGTTTACTTTCATTCATCTAAATAGTTCGTCGGAACAATTCGTGCGTTTTATCGCTTAGTTCAATAAACTAAATTGTTACGACTAATTATGATAGTTTTTATGAAAGTTATAATAGTACTTCCGCTTCCGCAAAAAATAGTTTGACATCCGTTTCCGCTTCTGTTATAACACTTCCGTTGTATCACTGATTGTTAGTTCGTCAAAAATACCGCTACCGTAAATTCCACGAGTTCCGTGTTTCAGACTTGTCGACTACACAAAGGGCATCTTTCAATCGATCGGCTTTAAGGAGTTTCACAAGTACCTAATGCTCAATCCCGAAGGTAGAGCTTCGGAGATCGGTCGACAAATATTCGCAACGGCGGTCGAAGATCTCAAAAGGGTGACGCGTAGATACGCCAAGAAACAGAGGAGGTGGATCGTCAATCGACTCCTCAGCATGAGTTCGAATCGAGAGGTGCCGCCCGTTTACAGTTTGGACACTACGGACGTCGACAGGTGGGACGAGTGCGTCACGCAACCGTCGGTCTCGATTGTGCAGAGCTTCATCGAGAGCGCAAGGTGCCCCTATGCGCCGTTGGCCAAACAGGAAACGTTGGGATTGCCGATTTCGATGGCCGAAAAGCATTTCTGTAACTCGTGCGAGCGAATTTTCATCGGGAAATTTCAGTGGACGTGTCACATTAAGTCGCGTAGACACAGAAGACTGGCACAGAAAAAGAGTAAGGAGGTTAAGGTAGAGTGTCAAACGTAAAGAGGGTAGCATGTGAAATAAGAATATATTAGATTAAATATTTTAATATATTGACATATAATTTTCTGTCACCCTGTATCACCTGTACGCCAGCACCAATGACATAATATCTCACATCCTGGGTCGTAATTTGGGCTTTATTAGTCGAATTACCTTCAAGTTTAATCACCCTTAACATACGGTTACTACTGTGACTCACTTTATGACTCACCAAGAAAAGCAAAACGCCAACTGAAGATTAATTCCTTTGTAAACGTGGACAACGGTTCAGCTCACTGAAATAATAACATTCATTTTATAATGACGTATTTATAAAATCGAATTTTCTTCTAAAACAAACCGATTACTCCAGGCTGCGCCATACATACACTTCTTTGTCAAAATTAATACGCGTCGAAATAAACTGAACATCTGTGTTTTCTTTCCGCGCACAACTTAATGAGCTTATACAAACTCTTATCGCAATGACCGGAGATAAACTTCTACAAACGAAAAACATTAATAAATCGAACAAAATAACATGATCGAATTTATGTTCAATCTAAAATTAGCGACCACATTCAACTTTAAAAATTGAAATGTGCATCATACAGGGTGACCCATCGTTGTTATAGGTACGGATTCCTAAGAAATCATCCGCATGAAGTAGTTTACACAGCAGTTCATTTGTTCTTATTTTTTCTTACGTAGAAAAACTTTTCATTTTAGTTAATTCCCTTCCAGATGGTCCCTCACGTCCCAACACATAAAAACAACCGCCATAGTATTAACACAACGTAGGTGAAAGGTTGAAAGTCGAAGACAATCACGGAATTAGGTGTCGTAGCTCAATTGTGACTAGTTTTTACCACCCCCGTGACTGCTTCATTCACGGAGAAAAATGTTAGTAACAAACAACAAGTCACTACATACATCAAACGAATCGGTAATTTCCTCATATTAAAATAAAATGATCAAAACTTATATGAATGTTACTTCAGGGATATAAGGCCAAGTATTCAACATCAATAAACATAAATTAAGCAAGCATTACACCAAAAACGTAAACAATTACAAACAATAGCTTTAAGGGACCACATATGTGACTGCATTGCGATTAAACCAAGTTTGAAACACACAAAAAATATAAAATGCGGCATATAAAACACAAATACGATATAAAGAAATGCAAAAATTACTACCTGCTTTAAATAACACAAAATAACAACAAACATTTATGGAGCGACGCGTTCACGACCGCCATTCATGATAAGATGCCAAACGTAACCCACAGATGGCGCAAATCGCTTTCCCCTCCTAAAAATTGCGTGGTTGTCAACTCTCAAAAATGTGTGCATCGTCATAAGTTGTATATACAGGGTGGAACCTCTCATGCTATTCAAAATTTATCTGAAATAAATGAAAATTTTCATTTGCTCCCGAATCAACCTGTACATTAGGAAATATAATAAAGAGAAAGAGAGGAGGAGTGTATTATTTAACATTCATAGATCTAAAAGCAGTGTTGGATAACGTAGATAGGAGACACGTATGGAAAACCCTGGGAGAGCTGGAAATACCCAAGATGTTGATAAATGCTTGTAGTGTACTTAACCCCCAGGTTCTACGATAACTTCACACCAAAAGAACACGGAAATAAAGTAAACCCGGCAACGTTTAAAAATGGCCACCCGAATGACTATTCCCTCCAAAACCAAACGAGATCGCGCTTAAATTTGAAAAGTGGCACGTGATAAAACATCTAAGTCAGGGCCCCCTTACGTTAGTTGAGGACAACGCTTTGACCTGAAGCACAGTAGGGAAGGAACGTTAAATAAAACACTGAAATTGTGAAAAGTTTTTATTATTAAGATTGCGAAAACCCGGAAATTTAGTTGATGTACGTTAATATAAACAAAGTAAAGCAAAGCTAGAAGGGTGTCGTACTCTCGCAAAAGTAACTGCCAAGGGTAAAAAGAGTACGACGAAGAAAAACCTTGCAGGTTGATTAAAACAGTCCAAAAGTTAATTAACAAAATATTCTGTAAAAATTTAAGCAGTAGTTAACAAAGATAGTAAATGCATATACACAAGGTTGGTTACACTCAAAGCAAGTTTTTTGAAACAATGGGTCAGGTAGGAGCAGGTACCTAAATTCTGAGAAAGGGTGAAATACACAGGATGTGACTCATCTTTGGTGCAATAAAGTCCTTTTGTTGAAAGCAAGATGGAAAATTACATGGCCTTGTAGGCAAATTTGACTAAAAACAAGATATGGGAAATTATTGAATCGCCACTCATTTAACGCACAGATTCTAAACTGAAGAGCTTTGATTAGCGTAATCTCGCTCCTGCAAGATGGGTAGTCCGCCCCTGGTTTCGGGGTTTCGAACCTACAGTTGGATGTCGAAGAGAATCACGGAATTAGGTGTCGTAACACAAATTTGACTACAGTTTTTACCACCCCCGTGACTGCTTCATTCACGGAGAAAATTGTTAGTAACAAACAACAAGTCAGTACATACATTAACCGAATCGGTAATTTCCACAAAATAAAATGAACCATAAACTTATATGAATGTAACTTCAGGGACAAGACCAAGTAATCAACATCAATAAACATAAATTAAGCAAACATTACACAAAAAATGTAAAAACAATTACAAACAATAGCATAACGGTATTAAATATGCGATTCTGTATTGCGGTTAAACCAAGTAAATTTCAAAAACAGAGATTCAAACACAACAAATATAAAATGCGGCATGCAAAACACAAATGCGATATAAAGAAATGCAAAAGTTACTACCTGCATTAAATAACACAAAATAACAACAAACATTTATGGAGCGACTATTTCACGACCGCCATTCAACACAAGATGCCAAACGTAACTCCCGTTCGTGCTTTCTAGGTGGCACAGGCAGCTTTTCCCCAAGGTTATTTTATTTCAAAAGTTACCTGGTAACTATGTGGGCGGAAGCGGGAGGGACGGAATGTATACGTCATCGAGAATTCTGACATTGACGTTCAACGTTGTTTGTAGTCGGGCGGGTGCTTATTTTTCTTGAGTTGTAGTTTATTTGTTTAAAATTTGTTGAATTTTGAAGTGCATAAGGACATATTTTAGCTGTAGATACCTGTTTGGTGGAATATAAAGACATTTAGTTTGTGAATTTTGTGGGTTTTCATAGCCGTGATTGAAAGGTTAGTTTATCAATTATATGCACTTTTGTATGTTATAATTAAGTATTTTTTTAGATGAGTGGCGGTGACACTAAAATTCCTCATCCTGGTGTAAATAAAATCTCGGTTTTTACGTTTCCAAAGGACCCTACCGTTCTTAAAGAATGGGTAAGAAAATGTTTCACATCCGGCAGCAAACTAAAACGTGCGGCGCCCTCATTGGTCAAAACGACCAACCGATGAAAGCGTAGCGTCCCTGGCCGCAAACGTTTAAAAGCAGAGCCACGAACTCTGCAAAGTGCATCGCAATTTCTGCTTCGACTCCACTTCAAGAAACAAAAAGCTTTCCACCTGCAGAACCAGGTCACCTTTCCACTCGACCTCGCGCCACACTCCATCAGTCAGAAAACCTGCATCTGGGCTCACCCCAACGACAGAGCTCGCCGTGTGCACTTCGGTTACTATTTTGTACATACTATAAATATACATATTCCATAAAACGCAACAGCATTTTATTTGGCGTCATCCGCTAAAGAATGTTTAGAGTTTTAAATCCCAAAGGCTAGGTATTGGTACATAGGGGTGGTTCCTATTTTGTAGAACGCGGAATTTTATCCATTTCCACCTTCCACAAGTCCTCGTGCAATGTAAAACAGCTTACGCACCACACTCATTTTTGCAATACTTTGATTGCTTTCAAAGGTGGAAGTCGATAAACTTCCAAGATTTCCAATATAAGAACCACCCCCATATACATATACCCATATAAATCCAAAAATATACTGCAAAAACTAACTTTTTTACCCCTTTTATTAGCATTGTAACCTATGAGCAATTTTAAATGTGAATTCTGGATGACGTTTTCCCGCCTTCAAAATGCAAGCATTCTATTGGTTTAGAATTACCAGACAACCTTTCTAATAAAACAACCTTGGCTTTTCCCCACCTAGAAATTGTATGTATGTATCGTCGTAAGCTGTATATACAGGGTGGAACCTTTCAGGCTGCAAGAAGTACTTATAAAACAGTAAGAGGAAGAGTGCAAATAGCGGGACAAGATCAGATGAATTCAAAATGAGTAGATAAGGGAATAAAACAAGAAGACGGCCCTTTACTTTTTATCATTATTATAGAGAAAGTGAAAAATATAACGAAATGGATAGTTATTGGGCACAGAAACCTAGAAGCAGACGATGTGCTGTATTAATAGCAAATAAGACAAAACATGAAAATGGAAATACACACAAACAAAACAATAATAATGACCATAAATGAAAGAGAAACAGACAAAGAAATCAAATGCAAGAGTAAATCAATGGAAAGGGCAACAACATAGAAATTTTTGAGAAGTAAAATAAGAATATATTACTCAATAATATATAATAATCATAGGGGTGAAAAGAAAAATACATAAAGTAATAACGATACCAACAACATGAAAGGAAAGTAAATGCTATGGAAACGAAAAATTGCTGGAAAAACCAAGTGGGACAGGGTAAGAAATGGCGGAACAAGAGCAAATAACGGGAAAAAAAAGAAACAACTGAACCGGTTCGCGTTTCTAGTAAGGATGCAACCGAACAAGAATAATGAAGATAGAAGAAGCAAAGGGGAAGACCAAAAACAAAATGGATGGACCAAATCCAAGACATACAGGGTGATTCCTATAGTACCTGCCACCGTTTGGGAGCGTGTAGGTGGTGCGTAGGGGAGTATTTTGATATAGGACACTTGGGGTCGGAAATCTAAAATAAGGGTGCCAGAGCCAAATTTACCTTCTGGAATTTCGCGCCTGTAGGTAGGCAACCCAACCGGCCGGCGGTGCACACGGAGCGATCTCAGGCGGCGATGTGTGGCTGACACTTGATCAGAATTTTGTTTAAACCCACGAAATCCCGTCTGCAACGACGCGTATCAAGTGAATAAACACTATGGCAATAGTATAATAATAGTTGGCTAGATGTAGGAAGTGCATTCAGAACAACGGTGGCCACGTTGAACACTTGTAAACGTTATTGCTTTTGACTGTCGTTTTCCCTCCTTCCCTCCCATGTCGCTTCCTCGCGCTAACTCGCTCTGCATCGCTCCGCGCGAAACGTCGGTCGGTTGGGTTGCCTACATACAGGCGTGAAATTCCAGAAGATAAATTTGGTTCTGGCGCCCTTATTTTAGATTTCCGACCCCAAGTGTCCTATATCAAAATACTCCCCTAGGCACCCCCTATACGCTCCCAAACGGTGGCAGGTACTATAGGAATCACCCTGTATATATGGATGGATGTACAGGATAAGGATCAGAAAAGAAGTAAAAAAATAAAATGCGCTAAAAGCATTAATTTTTTTTATATGTAAAACTTATCAGGAACTACAACCAAATAATAAAGGTAATTACTTAATCTAATGTAAATTGACAACATAACGCAATCATTAAAAACAAAAGTATGCAAAACTAGTAAGTACAAAACATTAACAAACTTTATATACAAATGAATAATGTAACATGTGCTCAATCGCTTCATATATACAAAGTAATTGAAATTTACGCACAAGATAGGTATATATTTCTATATTACATAAATAAGTATGTGTATCTACTATATTTAGATGGTCGACGAGGCTTAGAGAATTGCCCTGCTTAGTTGCAAACGTGAAATACTTCAGCACATTTATTTTTTCGTATGTCATCTTTCTTTTTGTATTGTAAAAAACTATATCACTATATATATATTTTTGTAATTTTTTCTTTCGATATATTTCAATGGATATAAAATACTGTAAAAATATGAACACAACAATTCTCACATCCTACGACTAAAACAATTGTACCAGTATTGTGCCGAGAAAGACACGGCAATAACGGAAAAATTTCTCGTTTAAAAAAATGCAAAAAACTTATATAACAATTGAGGAATTTCTTAAATGCTTCAGAAACAATTACACAATCTATTAACTACTTAATAGTAAAACAATAACATACATCTTTAAAACAAGATTAGACCACTTTCATCCAACAACTTAATATTCTAAGAAGCGTATGCGTTATCAATTCCGAAACATCAATGTGTCCTATCTCAGCCCCCTCCCCTTTCCTCTCTAAGTCTTTTACTTAAGAAATGGCTGTGTAGTGAAACGAAAGACTTAATTGAGACAATCTTCATCTAAAACTGCGTTACTTAGGACTAAGTATTCGAGATTACTCAAAAAGTTAGTTGGCGATTTTAAGCGAGTTGGCGTAGGTAGAAGCAGTTTTAGACTAAAAATTAAACTTCTTTAAAACAAGAAATAAAAATCCATTCTGCGCGCACATTTTTTTCAGAAACTGTCCCAATTTTCTCTATTTCTCTTCTTTTTTTTGAAAAATTGTCTATAGGCCTTATAAATGATTATCACAAAATTAAATCACAAAAACAGTGAATTATGAGCTAAAATTTAACACCTTGCTTTCAATTATTCCCTTTTGCTTGCTTCGTTTAACACTATAAAACAACTATGTACAATAAAAAAAAAACAGGAAAAATATTCTAATTCTATATACAGGATGAGTAATCCGACACCCTGTATAACTCAACATATATAAATCACAGTACTATCATTTTATTAGAGTTTGGTGCAAATCATAATTGCATGACTTACGTGAACACAAAAGCCGAACGAAACCGATAAGATATGCACCGATTAGCGTTTCGCCGCCAGGTTCTTTCGGAGCTGGGACACGCGCGCCCGCAGCTGCTCCTGCCGCCTGCGCAGCTCCACCACCTTCCTTTGCATACTTTCGGAGGCGTCGCCGAGGTGATCGCAGTACAGGGCGGCCTCCCTCAGTATGACCACCTTGGCGGCGCGCTCTCGCGAGCTCACCTCCGGCACGAGCATCCGGAGGTCCTCGAACGAGTTGCGCAGGTCTATCCTGCGCTGTCGTTCCATGTTGTTGTGCAGACTTCGCTTCTCGAGCTCGGGCTCGCTGTCGCTGCTGTTGTTCGCCTGTTGGGAGACGTTCCGCCGTTTGTACGGCGACGTCATGTAGTGCTGTTTCGTCCGTTTGACGCCGCGCGCCGTCTCCGACAGCCGCTTCTTCGACATGCTCGTGCACTTGCGCACGGCAGGTATCATTTTGAGTCCGTGTTTCGTCGTTATGTGCTTGCCGGTGATCGCCGAGGCGACCTTGCGTTGGAGCTGCTGCTTGTCGCGACTCGACGGATTGGTCGGCAGGGCGAAGCTCGTCCGGCCGATGCACATGTTCTGCTTCTCGTTGATCGAGACCACGTCGATTTCCTCCTCTGTAACAAGACGAGACGCTTCGCTATTAATGATGTAATGCGACAATATTTACTGATGGCGTGTAATTTAGATTTTATCTCTTTGGAAAGTAAACCAGTTCAATGAATGAATTGTGAAAGTGCATACGAAATTCTTTGGGACAATTACCGCCTTCGCTTTACAAATCAATCGAAAATGTAATTATTTATATCAAGGTTTTTTTGCGCCTGATTTTTCAATTATATAATTACACGGTGAGAGTGTATGAAGGCTGGCAGATAAGGCTAATCTCATTTTTTTTTAGTGTATTTGACATAGTATTGACCTACCAAAAATAACTACAAAAATATGGTTCCTCGTGTAAGTGCTTGTGTGATAAGGTATCTTGTCCTGAATGAAAGTTCAAGTCGTGTATGAGATTACATTTTTTTATTAATATTACTCTTGTGCCATTTTCGCAAGTGTACATAATAATTACAGGATTGGAACAAGTGAATATTCCAGATGTCTTGATCCCATGTTTTAAGTGTGGTGAGACTGACACGCACTTGGTAGATGTCTAGGAAGAAAGTTTTGACATACAGAATTTCTCCATCCCAAGGCAAAAAAAAAGATAAACACTTTGGAGTACCCAATTCAAGTCCATTGAAACCGAAACCTATTATCACAGTGAAATAAGTAATCTCAACATTCTGCTATTATCTTAATAATTCAAAAGCGGACGAATATAAATTGTCTTTTTTTTTAAACGAAATGGCTTTTGTTTTAACATCACCAATGGATACATTTCTTGCCGACGTCTCAATCGCCCTTTGTGAGTACCCTCTTCCGACAATCCGTTCTTGAGGTATAACAGAATACACCCGATCACGATAAGAGGTCGAGGAGGAGGGCTATGGTTGGTAGAAATTAATTCCTTTCGTTGAGACCTTTCATTAGAGTACCATGAAGGATAAAACTAGTTCCCCCCCCCCTCCCACCACCCCGTACTTTGATAAGAGGACAGAAAGAAGGGCGGTAGTTGGTAGAAAACGGTTCCTTTCGTTGAGACCTTTAATTAGAATAAAATTAATTTTTAACCCCCCCCCTTCAAGTCCCGTCGCTCACCGATCTCGAAAAAGAGTCGCACGGGAAAGTTAAAGTTTGTACAAACCAATTTATTTTGATGAGACCTTTCATTACAACACCATGAAGAGTAAATCCTTAAATCCTATGTGTACCCCCCCCCCCCACCGGGCCCCATTTGTAAAAGTTTTAACTTGGCACTAAAGGCATGCAAAATCTGGTTTGGTCTAGTTGAGGTTCTTTTTTACGAAAATCATGATCGCGCGCGTTTGTTATAAAACGCAGGCAAACCGAAATAGACGCTAAAAAATTTTCCAATGCGTTTTTAATCATGTTTATTTTCTACACAATTATTTGACATGAAAATTACGTATCACAACAGAACAACAGAACAGACACCCTACTCATAAACGTGAAAATCTTGTAGCTTTTTTGGGCGACCGCGCTGAATTTATTTATCTTCCTATATTCGTAAGGAGATGGTAATCCATATACAAGAGAATATTTGAATTCCACCCTGTATGTGTGAATTGCAATTTTCTTTAACGTTAAATGCTGGTCGCTAAGTCAGAATGAAGACAATTTCGATCATGGTACTTGAATTTGAAGCCGAATGTGTACTTTTTGTTCACTTAATTGTAAAGAAATTACTTGTTAAAGATCCAGTTTATTCTTTTGTAAAAACTTCATCTCAATTGCGATAAGAGCGGCTAATTAGTTTTAAGATACGCACGTTTTATTGCAGATGTTGTTTCGCTTAAGTTTCACGTGCGTTAAGTAACTGCAAGGGAGAAGGACGTAAATGAAAAGGGAAGGCATGTATTAAATAAGCGTACCGGATGTTAATCGAAGCTTTTTTTGTGGTGGACGTTGAGACGTAGCCGTTTACTTTTGCATTTCGATGCATTTGCGTGGTATTTGTTTTTCTTGCCCTGAGCGCCTATTTTTCTTTCAGCTTATTTGATTTCTTTCATAGGTAAATGGTTAGTTTTGTGATTAATCGAGCCCAAATGACTACCTAGGTAAGAGTTCAATTTCGTGCCCAGAATTATATCGGGGGTTAATTAATTGTTTGGACTTTCGGAGACGGTTAAGGCTACTTGTGGGTGGGTTAGTGACAATTTGCCATTGCACATAGGAATATATAGGGCGTTTCGTTAAAAAAAAATGAGGTTAGGTCCGGTAACTATTTTACCTGGGCCCATGTACTTATTTTTCTGAGATCGACCGGGAAAAAACATTTTCCTATAGAATTTGACCCGTAGAATCCATAATTTCAAACAGTTTGAAGATTGGGCTACTAGATCAAAAGTTACAGCCCTTTGAATTTTTTTTCGAAATTTGTTTTTTGTCCATAACTATTTATTGAGAAGTCTAATCGAAAACGTACGAATTGTTTTGGATTCTACGCACCCAAATTAATAAGAAAAAGTGTTTTCCCGAGAAATTTTGGTGTAGTCGATTTTTGGTCAAAAAGGAAGGTAAATAACTGCCTTTTTTTGAGCCCCGAAGAAAAAATTGTCTCAGATCGACCCGAAAAAAAATTTTCTTATAGAATGTGGCCCGTAGAATCAATAATTTCAAACAGTTCCAAGATTGGGCTACTAGTTCAAAAGTTATCAGGCCCTTTGAATTTTTTTCAGTCTATAACTTTTTGATTGAGAAGGTCTGATCGAAAAAAGTAACAATGATTTTGGATTCTACGCACCAAAATTAATAAGAAAAAGTGGTTTCTTTCCCGAGAAATTCTTGGTGTAGGTCGAGATTTTTGGTAAAAAAAGGAAGACCCAATTAGTTCTAATGTAAACGTTTTTTTACCTTTCAAAAAACAGTAATCTCAGGAAATAAGTTCGTGTGGGGGGGGGGGGGCTTTTAGACAGCGAAATTTGATGGCCGTATGGCACACGTTCAAGGTATAGGCTACCTACCGCAAAAAATTCCAGGACTCTAGGACCATTCCCGTAGAAGTAGTTCGAAAAAGGGGCAGAAGTGGGTCCGGACGGACAAAACGCAAACAATAACACTTTTTTTTAATTCTTAAAAAATGCGCTAAACAACGGTAAACTGTACAATCTACAGGTTTTAAACAGATCCGAAGACTCCAAACAATTTAAAGCGCCTTAAAAGAAACAAGTGTTTAAAAGACGAGTAACTTTAGCACATTTTTCATACATTTATCAGTACGTCCCAAAAGGCCTATGGTTGGGATTTTCTCTACTGAAAGTATCTATATGTAAAATTTCAAAGAAATATTGCAATATATAAGAAAGTTGGCACAATCTACGCATTCGCGCATTTTATTTTTGGCAATATGAGATATGTTTGTCTTTAATAGAAGCATCTGTGATTAACATTTCAAAAAGATATCTCGATCAATAAGACAGTTGATATTGCGCGCATTAATCGTCAAGATTTTTCTTGATCCAGAGCTATAAAAATAAGTTAAAGCCACAGACGGACGGACAGATCAGTGGCTGCAATAGCGCACCCTGCAGCTTCGTTACAAAACGCGCTAAAAAGAGTTTGGGTATACTCGCCCAGAAAGAAAGACACGGTAATTTCCGAAAAACGAGTAACCCAAGAGCTTTAAACATTTTGAGGGATGCATCAGAGATCTGAGAGGTATGGAATATGGAATTGATTACTTTTTCCCCAAAACAACCATAACAGTTGCTTTCAGGGCTCTACGTCCTCCCCTAAAATGTTTGAATGGCTTTTTATGGGCAGCGGTAAAATTTAATCCTCTATGAAAAAAAGATAACACAGACGTTGCTCAGAAAAGATGTGGATTCCGAGGGCTTTTTGAGACAAAAAGTAGCATCACGGGTTCTGGGCAAAGAATCATATGATAGCCCCTTTTTGGAGAACGATGGCGAGGACTTTGAAAATGTTGTGGGAAGCACCGAGGGTCTAGGAGGCCATGACATATGGAACGATTTTCCCCCTTTACCCCAAAATTACCATGACGGTTGCTTTCGGAAAAGTGTCATTAAATCTCCTTTTCCTGAGAGGTATTCCATACCCCTCGGTCTACGTCCGTTCAGTCAAATTGAACCCCCCAGGAAAGAAAGTTAAGGCAGAACTTTCTTAGAAAACCATCATGAGGACTCTCTTTGAACATTTTGAGGGAAAGAGTAGCACCGAGGCGTCTGGGGGCATGGAATGCCCCCCAGCAAAGAGTGATAGGGTAGCTCCTTCTTAGAAAACCATCGCGAGGATCCTGAGCAAATTTTGATGGAAAGTGGGGGGTCACTCTGTAATTGGGCGAAAGCCTTTTGAGGGCCCAGAACAAGAGAGGGACAATAAATAAATAAAATAAAACAAAAAATATGGAATACCTCCAGCAAAGAATGATGTGGTAGCTCCTTCTTGGAAAACCACTGCGAGGATCCTGAGGAAATCTTGACGGAAAGTGTATCACTGGGGGGTCACTCTGTAATTGGGCGAAAGCTTGTTGAAGGCCCAGAACAAGAGAGGAACAATAAATAAATAAAATAATTTAAAAAAAATATCGCGAGGATCCTGAGGGCTTGGAATATTTTAAGGGAAGCACCGAGGGTCTGGAGGTATAGAATATAGAATTGATTATTCCAAAATCTATCATGACAGTCATTAAACCTCCCTTTCCTGGGGGGTATTCCATACCCCCCAGACCTCCCGGTGGTACGTTCGTCCCCAAAATATTAATGTAACCCGCAGGAAAGACAGATACCGCAGACATTTCCAAGAAAACCATCAGGAGGACTCTGCGGCCTTTGAACATTGAGAGAAAGTGTAGCACCGAGCAAAAAAAAGATATGATAGAGATGATCTCGGAAAACCATCGCGAGTATTCAGAGGGCTTTTGAGGAAAGCACTGGGCGTCTGGCATATGGTATTGATTAGCTATTCCCCAAAACTACCATGACGGTTGCTTTTCAGAAGTGCCATTAAATGTTCCTCTCCTGGGGGGTTC